TTGGTGCTGATTAGTGAGCCGGCCTGTAACCCTCAGAGGTGAAGCCGCCTGGAGCAGAAAGACTTGCCCTGTTTGTTCAACCAGAGAAAGTTGCAGCAGAAGAAAAGAGTCCGTGTGGCTTTCTCATTTTCTTGCTGCTCCTTCTTTTCTTCTGCTGCTTTCGTTCCCTCCTTCTTCTTTTCAAGTTCTTTCTCCTTCAAAAACTCAACTCTGAGCAGCTTTATTGGTGCAGTGTGCCGCTGACAAAAAGCTCTTAGAAATGAGATTTAAAAATCTGTTTATGCAGCACAAAGCTGAAGTTTGAAAGAAAACAGAACAACAAAAGGCTGAATTTTCAACAGGGCACTTTTTTTTACTTTTAGAATTAAGGAAAACTCTTTTATTCATTAATTGGTTTAATGATAACATCCATGTTTGAATCAAATGTTTTAAAATAATTTCTATTGTTGTAAAGCAAAAATGTTGTTGAGTCTGAAGCTGGTTCGTGGTTTTGAAAAAGAATGAACAGATATTTTTTCTGATTTGTTTTTATTTAAGTTTTCAGAAAAGTCGGTCCAATTTTAATAAATAAAAACATCTGATTCATTTTTGATGTTGAAAAAAACCTAAAAACAGAAATTTGCTTTAAAATCATCAACTAAACGTTCTCACAAGTAGTAGAGGTAGCAAAAAGGTGACAACTCCACGAATCATCTGGAAAGACCACCTGAGGTTTATTTCTTTCAGTAGAAAGTCCAGTTTGTCTTTGTGAAGGAGGTGGGGCTTAACCTTTAAACTACAGCTGATTGGCTCTCAGATGTTTGTGTTTTAATCACCTTTCAGGTAGTTAAAGCAGGTCAGAACACATCGCAGAACTGCAGTGACCATCTGGGGTTTTAACATCCTGAGCATTCACAAGTAGCAACTGTTGTTCACAGGTCTGGTTCCCGTGGAAACCGCGTCATACACTCATTCTTTCTTTCTGAGCTGCACGTGCTTGCTGAGCGTGAAAACCGTCTTCATCCTCCATCGCCTACATGATCCGCAGGAGGAAACAGGAAAAGCCAGTCCCCTCTGAGAAAGCAAAGTGCATCTCAGCTAGTAGAAGCTAACTGTTAGCATTAGCAGCTCCGCAGCATGGCAGAACACGTTCATGCTGGAGTTATTTACAGTGATAAAACGTCAACGTTGCATTTTTTACACAAGAAAGAAGAGTTGAGTTGTTGTTACCCAATCAGGGGAGAGCTGTTTGCATGTCATGAATAATAATGACAAACAGGAAGTTTGGCGATGTTAATAAGTTAACTCCAGATCACTGAATCAGTCAGAAAATCCTCGTATCACCCTGCAAACAGAATGTATCAACGGGTTTTAAAGGATTCATAAACACTGTCTGCTTCTTAAACCTTTAGCTGTTGTTTATAGATTCTTACGTTAAAACAATGTTTAGGACTGAGTTCATAGAACAGACTGTGATATTACGATATTTGTTTATATGAACGAGACAAACAGTCGTGATTTTTTCTGCTTAGAAAGAGGAAGTCACACCTGAATCAGCGTCTTTGGCTGATAACCTGGTGAGTGTCTCACTCTGCAGGTAAAAGTGCATCAAATCCGACTTTGCCCCCACATGCGACCCATATCTGGGTTTTTATGACAGTCCGAACAGCACAGATCCCATTTATTTCAAATCTGATACACCGCATTCATATGTGGCAGGCTACTGATTCCGGTACATATCTGATGTACTTGAAGGTGACTGCAGTGCTGTAGACATGTGTAGTCATTCTTTTAGTGCACCTTATTTCACACTTAAAAATTCTGCCTAAACCTGTTAATATTTCTCCCTTTTCAGGTTAAAACTCGGCTCTACGTTCATTCGTCCACTCAGGAATCGACATGAAACGATGCAGCTCAGAGCCGCTCGTCCTCCTTAAAACGACGGCCTCCTCCCCTTTAGATAAACTGTCTCCCTACTCTGTGATCCTCTGCAGAAACATGAGCAGCCCTTTTTGTCTGTAGGTCTGAGCAGTATTATCTAATAATACAAAATCTGATGCTTAATCCTAAGTGATCATAATTCATCTCTACTCTAAGTGATTCAAAGGAGACAAAACACTTTAAATCAGCCAATCAGAAACCGGGATGACCGGTCTCAGGATCAGAGCCAGTAACGAGTCTTTCAGCCCTGCAGCTGGGCCTGCAGCAGCAGCAGCAGAAAGCAGGTCGTGTGTCACGGCTGGTTGGGGCTCAGCTCAGAGGGAGGAGGGCGTTTTGTTTCCCACCGAGGCTTTTATTCTCTGCAGCAGGCTGCGTTTTGTGTGCTCCACGCTGCCTGCTGTTTGTGAACGCAGCTCGATGCAGCAGCACAACAAAAACCCGCTCTGGTCGGGTCTCAGCAGCACGTCGCTGGTTCAGCCTGATTTAAATGTCCCTGTTCCAGATTTGGTCGTAACTTTTTTCTTTTCACACAAAACTGTCAAACCAAATCTGCTTCAGAATTAAAAAACTTTCAAAACACGTCATATTAAGTTTGAGTTTGTGCTCATTTTAAGGTTTGCAAACACACTCTGAGTTTCTGTTACAGTTAAATGCTTTTTTGAGATTTGTCTCCTCCGAGCCACCGTACATAGTCTAGAAAACACAGCTTGTTCGAGTTCAGACAAAAAGAAATCTCCAAGTTGACAGAAAACCTGAATGAAGTTTTTTATTCTTCTGTTTTCATCAGAATTTTTAAAACAATTTTAAAAGTGAAATAATCTATCAAATAATCCAGCTAACGTGTACAGGATTATCAACTAACAGTTTTCCTCACCTGAGCTGAGGGCCTGAAGAGTAAACTAATGTTGAACTAGAAATTAACAGGTAACTGAGTTCTACACCAGAATTCGACCTGCATGTTAACCCAGATTAGAGTAGATTAAATTCAAAACACATCAAAGAGAAAAGGAACTAGGTATGGCTGGACTGGGTTTTAGAGATGGGGAGAGGAGCTCAGACTGGGGCTGCTGCTGCTCATCAGACGGAGTCAGTGGAGGAGATTGTGATCCAGGTTCTCCTGGTTCCTCCTCCTCCGGAGGTGTTCTGGACCCTGGGATGAGATCCCAGGTCAGACCCAGAGGGATTATGGATCCTCTCTGGTCTGGAACACCTTCGGGAGGTGTTTGTTTGGCCAAATCTGATTCCTGGACCCTCCTCCTGAATAATCCTGGAGCAGGAGGAGAAAGGCCTGAATCCTCCCCTCCCCCACTTTCACCCCTCCCCCGTGTGTGTGTGTGTGTGTGTGTGTGTGTGTGTGTGTGTGTGTGTGTGTGTGTGTGCTGGAATCCTCCAATCTCAGCGTTAAACTCCAGGAGAAACAGAACCAGCTCTGCTTACTCGGTTCTGGTCGGGCTCAGGTTACATCCTGGTTCCTAACACAGATGTTTTTTCCCCAAATAACCTCTGGATTTTACTTCTGATGTCAAAACGTCCGAACAGTGCAGCTGATCGCTCGTCGCTGAGTTAAAACAGCTGATAGAAATTCACACCTAAACCTTCTGATCTGAAATCATTCAGCAGATTTTGTTTTTAAGGTGAGGTCACGTGATTCCGCCTCCTGTGCTCATCCTACAATCATCTAGGCCACGCCCCCAAAAGGAGAGGGCGTGGCAGGAAGGTCAGAAGAGTCAGAAGCACAGAAAGAAAGCTTCAACATTAAGTTAAATGAAGCTCTGCACCAAGCAAGGAAATGTTTTCTGTTTTTACTCATCTGAGGAAACAAAGTTTAAAATAAAATATCAGGTGGATAATTATTTTATTGGAATAACAAGTTCAAGATGTAGACGTCTTCAGTTTGGTGCTTTTCTGTTTCTGCTCATGGTTCAGTAAACCGGTGAAGGTGCTCCTCCTGCACCGAGTCCAGAGCCGACCGGATCAGCCGGACATGATTCCAGTCCTCTATAATCTAAAGATACTTTCAACATAAACTAGAAAAAAGGGTTCAAATGAAAAAGTTTTTTAAAATCTGACATTTTTTATTTTAAAATGGATGAGTGTGTGTGTGTGTGTGTGTGTGTGTGTGTGTGTGTGTGTGTGTGTGTGTGTGTGTGTGTGTGTGTGTGTGTGTGTGTGTGTGTGTGTGTGTGTGTCTTTGGTTCTGATGATGTTTTTAACTCATCACCAGAAATCTCTGCATCAGCTGATTTGATGCTAAACTGCAAATCTGTGAGTCGGTTAAGAACGAACCTGTTGTTTGTGTTTTTAGTCAGTTATTGACAATAAAAAAGATGTAGAAACAAATTAAACAAAATAAATTGAACAAAAACAACAGAAGCAGTTCAGTGAATAAACCAGAAGCTGAAAAGTTGTGTTTCAGATTTGGTGGAATCCTCTATGCTCCAGAGGGGATTAGTTAGGATTAGATCAATGTTTCATACTGGTGAAACTAAACCAGTAAACTAGAGTAACCGGGTCTGGAGCTGATCGGACCTTCATGTGAGGCTGGAAGTTTCAGGTCCAGACTCAGCAGGGATCAGGAATGACATGCCCCTCCCCCCCACTGACGGGAAGGAGGCAACATGGCTGAATCCCAGCACTCTAATTTCCCTCTGAGATTAATAAAGTATTATTGAATTGAATTGAAACATCAAGGATGTTTGATCTGTTTCTTTATTCTTACAAATGTAACTCAGGTTCATAGGGGGAATTAGTGTTAGATTAGATTAGATTAGATTAGATTAGATTAGATTAGATTAGATTAGATTAGATTAGAATGGTTAAAAACACACTAACATGTTTAATCCCATTTTAAGGCAGAAGAAGGTTAACCCTATCACTCACCCCCACAAAAGCAACAAAATCTGTTAGGGAAGCTTCCTGAACAGCCTCTGTTCTGAGAAATAGCTTCTTCAGGACAGATAAACTAATGGCTAAATATGTTTCTGTCATCCTAAATCAGCTCCAATCTTAGTTTCATTGAGGCTGGTCTTACTCATAATTCTAAACCATCAGATCAAAGGAGTCAGTCCATCACCACCTGCTGGTGTTCTCATTATCAACAAGAATAAATAAACATTTTTATTGGAATTTTCCATTTTTAGTGTTTCAGTATTTTCTGCATTAATCAGCTGGAGGTTTGTGGTGAATAAATAGTTGCTGAGTTTAGGTTTACCTACTGTAAGTAAAATAGGTGTTTAACAACCTGTGTAAATGCATACTGCAAACACAAACACACACACACACACACACACAATCAAACACACACACACACACACACACATTTTTTCCTGCATCAGTCCCATCATAAGTCCACATCCACATGGACTTCTGTCAGTGTCTCCAGCAGCTGCTGAGGTAACTCCTAATCCAGGTGTGAAGATCTGTGCCATGATGTCACTTGAACCCCGGGGACATGGCTGTAACACACTTTGGCTGCACTCAGACTAGTCGTTAGCTCATCTGAAGGATGTAGACTCCACTTCTTCAAACAGAGGCTGTTCAGGAAGCCATCTACCGTGAGTTAAATAAAAAACAAAAACACATTTTAGGAAGGAGATTCCTGCAAGTTCCAGAGCAGCCGTCCCTAACGACTGATGAGGTCACATGACAACTCATCATCAACCAAAGTGGAGGATAAGAACTTTCCACATGATATAATGCACCAAGACTCCTCCTAGTGTGTGTGTTAGTGCACACACACACACACACACACACACACACACACACACACACACACACACACACACACACACACACACACACGCACACACACACACACACACACACATGTAACACACGTGTACACAAACAGTAAACATTCACATATGGGCCCCCCAACCCCACCCCCACCATCTTGTAGCTGGTACTGAATTTCAATGAACATCCATAATGCATGATGGGGCCCGTTTCCGTGGCAACATAAATCCAATGTTACACCAAAACCCAGCCCAACCCCCAGCTGGTGCTGAGACATAATTGGTCGTCACGGAAACCGACTTCCTCTGGATTCTCCTTATGGGGGAGGCACATCCATCACACACACACACACACACACACACACACACACACACACACACACACACACACACACACACACACACACACACACACACACACACACACGCACACTGTGACCCCTACCACTAATCAGCTCCACAGCTCCCAGTGTGATGCTGGAGGAGGCGAATCGAGTCTCTTTTCACCTTTGAGATGAAAACACTGATTTGTTTTGTTGTTTTAATTATTAATACGTTTAATATTAGAAGAGTTTGTTGTTCAGTTTAGCATTTATTACATTTTATTTACATTTTCCATCATGTGAGTTTGACCTTTGCCCTCATCACACTGAGCAGCTCTGCATTCCACTTCTGTCAGATTTTTGTATTTGTTTTTGACCTCTGGGTCAACCCGGGACACGCTGGTCTGCGTCCCATCAGAGTGGAGAGTGGAGGTGGCTGAGGAGAGGACATGGTCCTGCTGGACCTCTCAGATGCTTAATAAGGTTTTGCTACAAAACAGCTAAGCTTACATCCCATCATTTCATCCATTGTCTGTTATCTTGTCCAACCACCACTCATCATAATTTGTCATGTGTGATCATTAGTTTAGAAAACAGTGTTAAATCCATCTTTATTAACTATATCCTGACTTGGTCTGAATTAATATGAAGTGGGTGTTCCCTAAATAGTCCAAAGAACCTGAGGTAATATTAAATCAAATATTCAAAGACCAATAAGATTGATAATTCTTGTTTATGTGGAATATCACATCTTATTGGTCATTTAACAAAACTGTAGCTAATCCATCACGCTACAAAGCTGACCAAGAGAGTCTCTGACTTTGGGAACCAGTCTGGGGCACAGATGAGGATCTCAGACAAACACTGGAGCTCTGATTTTCATCTGTACAGAAGAAACGCTTTAACCCTTCCTGACTTGTTCCAGCTGTGACCTGCAGATGTTTACCGGTGATCAGCAGCAAACTCACCTGAATACAGCTGAAGGCATCGACCACAAGCTGAGTTTTGTAAACTCAGGAGGAGAAACGTTGGTGGATGTTTCCCCTCCAGCTGGGAGGAATCAGAGTTTCCTTAGGAGCTGGGTGGATTCTAATACTGCGTCTGAGGGAACATCAGAGCACACCTGGAGGTCTGCTGAGGGCTCCAGATGCAGATCCTGGAATCAGACTGATGAGGAAGTCGGAAAGCCAGAATATGGAGCCTAAACACAAAACATGTGAAGGTCATCATGGTGATTTTCACAAACTCATATGCTTTACCTGATGCAGCATTCCAGTGAGAAGAATCCTCAGCAGGAACAAGAATGTGTAGCTGCAGATATGGAATGCAGCCCCCTCGTCAGCGTGATGCTTTTATTGTGAAGTTTCACGTGAATATTTCTACTTTGTTTGGTTGAAGTTTTATCAGCCAGCACTCATAAACTTCGGTTGCCATGGTAACCATTGGTCGGCAGCTTCCTGTTTCCACCTGAAGAGTTTTCACCTCAGCGGCCTGACCTTTGACCTCTCACAACAACAGCTGCATTCCTGAGTAACGGCTCAGTTCACATATGTGAATGGACACACACACTCACACACACCCTATGGTTGCTGTGGCAGCAGTGATTGTCTCAGCAGCAGCAGTTTGTTTTTATTTGTATATTTTAGCAGCAGATAGCTAAAAGCTTCCAACTGAATTTGGCTGGTTTTCACTAACAAAAAGTTTCTGCAGGACAAATTCCTATGAATTAACGTCGGCATCAAGACTGATTCATACTGGCACTGCTCCAGCATGCCGGATCTGTTGGATCGCCATGATGCGACATCGTATGGGCAATCCAACACTGTTGGACTGTCGGTTGAAGTCGAGCTATATTTTCTAAACATCCGACGGCCGCGTTGTATGCTGGACGTCTGTTATTGGTCAGCCAAACAACCCAACGTCGTTTTCGGCACGACATAGCTTCCCTTAAAAAATGCAAACAGCGTGATGGTTGACAATGCAATGGACGGACACTCCACCGACACCTCTTCCTTCATCATTCTCGCTGTGCTCTAATAACAGTTGTTGTTCCTCTAGCTCAGGGATTGCCTGAGTGTGGTGCGCGCACCCCTGGGGGTGCGAGAGCTGCCGCTAGGGGGTGCGCGAGATGAAAAGTGTAATGGCTGCGGAGCTCAGAGAAGTCTGTCATATGTCACCATTAGCGTAGCCAGAAACTCATTTGTGGGTGGGCCAAAGAAAAAGTAAGTGGGCCCAATAAATTTACTTGAAAACAAGTATATTTTGCATGTGTGTGTGTGTGTGTGTGTCCTCCGCATGTGCCCTAGCTTCATAATAATAATGCGCCGAGCTTCAGCACTCTGGCCTGCGCACGCTGTCAGTAGCAAGATATGTGTGTGTATATATATATATATATATATATATATATATATATATATATATATATATATATATATATATATATATATATATATATATATATATATATATATATATATATATATATATATATATACATATATACATATATATACATATATATATATAGCCATGCCCTGATGTGGGGGCTGGGGGATGCGTCAACATGGTCGGGACATAGAAGGGGGTGCGTGGCTAAATAAGTTTGGGAACCGCTGCTAGCTCAAGCAGCTCCTGCTCAATAAAATAATTCGCTCTGTGTCTGTGTCGTCCATCTTTTCGAGAGTGTATGTGCGTCGTAAATGGTAAATAGCAGTAGGGCAGACACGTCACTACAAGAAAATGCACACCTGCATAGGAAAGTGCCCTCTGTTGTTTTGGCGGAGAAGTTCTTTGCAACAGGGTCGGGCCAGTATGAATACAGAGGAGATACGACGCTGCAGCAGCGGGGGCACAAATGTGCCTTTGCTTAAGCATGAATCATGCTTAAGGCCTGAAACCGGACCTGATCGTCTGGAGACTTGACTCTGTGGCAGCAGGACTCTTGCAGAAGTTCTTACAGCTTTGTCTTTGACCCATTCTGCCCCTTCATGTCTGATGGGTGAAGTTAAAACAATGTCTGATGCTGTGGAGTCGTCGTCGTCGTCTTCCTCCGCTTATCCGGGTCCGGGTCGCGGGGGCAGCATCCCAACTAGGGAGCTCCAGGCCGTCCTCTCCTCGACCACCTCCACCAGCTCCTCCGGCAGGACCCCAAGGCATTCCCTGACCAGATTTGAGATGTAACCTCTCCAACGTGTCCTGGGTCGACCCGGGGGCCTCCTGCCGGCAGGACATGCCCGAAACACCTCCCCGGGGAGGCGTCCAGGAGGAATCCTGACCAGATGCCCAAACCACCTCAACTGGCTCCTTTCGATCCGGAGGAGCAGCGGTTCTACTCTGAGCCCCTCCCGAATGTCCTAGCTCCTCACCCATCTCTAAGGCTGAGCCCGGCCACCCTACGGAGGAAACTCATTTCGGCCGCTTGTATCCGCGATCTCGTTCTTTTGGTCATTATCCAAAGCTCATGACCATAGGTGAGGATTGGGACGTAGATCGACCGGTAAATCGAGAGCCTGGCTTTCTGGCTCAGCTCCCCCTTCACCACGACAGATCGGCTCAGCGTCCGCATCACTGCAGACGCCGAACCAATTCGCCTGTCGATCTCCCGATCCCTCCTACCCTCACTCGTGAACAAGACCCCGAGATACTTAAACTCCTCCACTTGAGGTAGGACCTCTCCCCCGACCCGGAGTTGTCAAGCCAACCTTTTTCCGGTCGAGAACCATGGTCTCAGATTTGGAGGTGCTGATCCTCATCCCAGCTGCTTCACACTCGGCCGCGAACCTACCCAGCAAGAGCTGAAGGTCAGAGCTGTGGAGTCCCCTTTCAGATGTAAAACAGCTGTTTTGTGATGCAGCAGCACTGAACTCATCTCTGAATTTATCTCTACATTCTGGTCTGGCTGGACGCCCTCTGTTGGCCGACAGGACTCAGGAGGCTCCAGACAGGAGACACCACAGGGCCTATAATAAACACGTATGTAGGCTTATCTGGAACCCTGAAATCCACCTTAGCCCTTAAACTCCCTGGAGGTCTCGTGCTCGTCCTCCAGGAAAACCCCAGCCTCAATCAGAAATTTCCCAGAATGTCATTGCTGCTTTAATGTAAATGTGTCACATTACAAACTGTTTTATTATCTTTCTATTTATTCTGTTTGTGTTTTACTCAAGGAGTCAAATTCAGATTAATTAGTGTTGAACATTGTTTAAAATCAAAAGTATGAGTCTATTTTTTTTAATTCATGACCTCTTAAACATCCAGGGTGCTGAAACATTCCTGCTCACAACTTCAGTTCGATTAAGATGCAAGAACTGTTTTGATTATGTTCACTAGACTCCAATAAAATCAGCTCGGAGCCTGTAATTATTTCATTTTTGTAAATTACGGACAGTATGCAGGAAGAGTTCGGAGCTCTGATTGGCTGAGACAGGTGAAGGGGGAAGGATGTTTGAATCAAAGTGGGCAGTGATTGGCTAAAATGACAAGCGTCGCGCGCACGGTCATCCTGTTAATTAGATACCGGTTGGAGAGTTTCGGCAGCAGAGTCGAGATGCGGACGGCCTGAGAGGAGCAGCTCTGCTCGAACCGAGTTAGAAGAAGCGAACGGAACCGGAGCATCAGCGGAGGGTCTTTTCAAGTAGTCCGTGATATAAAGAGGGTTCTCGCAATGGTTCAGCAAACGGAGCACGTAGGGGTCATCGCCGAGTCTCGCGGGGCTGCTGATCCCAAGGAGCGCGAGCCGCTGGCGGTGTCGGCGCGCGCCCATGTGCCGCTGAAGCCGGACTGGTGTAAAACGGCTTCGGGTCACATCAAACGGCCCATGAACGCCTTCATGGTCTGGTCCAAGATCGAGAGGAGGAAGATCATGGAGCAGTCGCCGGACATGCACAACGCGGAGATCTCCAAGCGGCTCGGGAAGCGCTGGAAGATGCTGAAAGACACCGAGAAGGTCCCGTTCATACGGGAGGCGGAGCGGCTCCGGCTCAAGCACATGGCCGACTACCCGGACTACAAGTACCGGCCCAAGAAGAAGCCCAAGACGGAGGGCTGCGCGTTTCCCGCGGGGAAGTCCTCCGCTCAGTCCCCGGAGAAAAGCAGCGCGAGACCGGCCAACAAGATCCCCCCCGCCGCCAGAAAGTTCTCCAAGTTAAAACCCCGCAAACCGGTGGCCGTTACCGGCAGACCCCTCCCTCAGCACCAGGACCACCGGTACCGGTACATGTTGACCAGCAGCTTTAAAAGCGTCAAACGGGACTTTACGGATGACGAGGATGAAGATGACTCCGATGAGGATGAGGAGCAGGGCTCCAAACGGGGCGAGGAGGACGAACCGTCCCGGTACCGGGTCACCAAAGTCCCGTCCAGCCAGAGTCTGAGCTCCGCCGAACCGGAGTTCTACCCGTCCGGACGGCACTTCTATAGCTTCAAGAACATCACCCGGCAGGGAGGCAGCACCTCCTCCTACCCGGCCTCCCTCTCACCAGCCTCCTCCTCCCGGTCCGGGTCCACCTCCTCTTGCTGCGGGGAGGACCCGGACGACCTCCCAGCCGACGGAGCCGACCTCGCCCTCAACTTCCTGGGCGGCTTCAGCTCCTCCTCCGACCCGTGGACCTCGTCCTCCTGCGGGTCCGCGGGCGGCCTTAGCCTGTCCCTGGTGGACAAAGACCTGGACTCCTGCAGCGGGGTCAGCCTCGGCTCCCACTTCGACTTCCCGGACCACTGCACACCGGAGCTCAGCGAGATGATCGCTGGGGACTGGCTGGAGGCCAACTTCTCGGACCTGGTCTTCACCTACTGACCCAGCGCGGGTTCGGCTCCCGAGTCTGTCTCGGAACCGGTTCTGAGGGGTGATCCAGAACCAGCCAGGGAGCGGGGTGACGCTGCTGCCCGGGCTCAGTGCGCGGGGGTCGGCTGTGCTCTTGGCTCGGAGTCGCTCCCCGTGGTGGAGGAAATGAAACGACCAACAGGGTTTTATGGGTTTAGTTTTCAGTGTCTCGGGTCAGAACCAGGACCCGAACCCGGACTATGCATTCCCGCTCAGCCCCAACAGAACTCTGATTTCAGGACTTTTGCTGCAGGTTTCTGACCTTTTAACCTTGTTTTAGTGAGTTTGCAGCTCATTGAAACCCGAACAGGAAACATTTTGATATTTACAAAAACGAGAAAACCAAACGTACCTCAGCTTTTTAATAAACTCAAAATAAAACTATTTTCAGGCATATTTTTGTACATTCAGAGGGAATGTCAGGCACTTCTACTTCCACAGTTTTTTTCTGAGCATGTGAGGGTTTGATTCCCTGCAGCCTGCCTTGCTTTAATGCCTTGCAGATGTTTTAAGGGTGTACAGACAGATGTTTACAGGGAGGACTGGTCAGATTGTACAGGTTGTGTAAAATAGTTTAGAAGTTTGTGTATTTCAATGTGAGCAGGAGAGAAACTGGATTTTCTGTTGCCTTTCTTATTATTTTTCTACCACTTCCATCAGCAGCACGTGTTTGTTTTGCTCATTATTTTTGTGCAATATGAAAGAAAAGAGGGTGGAGCTAAAAGGCCGCCACTAGTGTTTCTGATAGCAGATGAGAAAACGTGTAAACTCGTCCTTTTGTGATAAAATCTGTTTGTCACACTGAATAAATCAGCTGGAACTGAGTCTTCTCATTGATCCTTTAGATCATCAGAGATATAACCTGCTTCAACACACCTGATTTAAATCAGCAGGTGAATACCCGGCTTCTGCAGAGCCTGATGAGCTGCTGCACAGGGGAATCGGCTGTGTTGAATCAGAGAAACCACTAAAACATGCTGGGTACCGGACATGCAGGACCAGAGTTGAAAACCTCTGCTTTAGATGAACCCTGGGCTCCTATTGGCTGCTGCTCGGATCCTGGTTAAGCACCAGTTCTGGCTAAGAAGGCCAATACCGATCACCACCTATGATTTCTCTAAAACTTTTAACAGGAAGCAGTTTAATGGTGCTCATAACTTAAAGATGATACTGGAGTTAAAACATCTACAGAAGAAGGTTAAATTCAAAAGTCACTTTAAATTAATCCTTGGGCTGCAGCTGTTGCTGGGATTTCCTCCACAGACCACACACATGCTAAACGTCCCTGGGTATGTGTAGACCGGTAGTTTGTGTCTGATGGGCTGTGGACCAGTCTGGTGACTACAGCCGACACCATTTCCCTGCTGAGGGATACGTGGTGACCAGTATCAGCCTTTTGTACCAGATCGGTGCATTTCTGCAGCTAACGACATTTCATCTAACAAAGTTGTCTCGGATTCTGGGGTTTTGTCCACGTCTCAGATTTTAAGAGTCAAAATTCATGACTGGGATTAAAATCTGTGAGATTTTCTGAATCTCAGGAACTTTGAAGACTTTCCAGAAGAATCTGATTTTCAAAATAAAAGAATGTAACTGGTGCTCATATTACTAAAGGTTTGCTTTTGCCTCTCAGGAGTTACAGAAATTATGCTGAAGCCTTAAATGTCCACGGATCATCACAAAACTAGTTCAGCTGCTGATTGTGTTGCCATGGCAACCCATTTAATTTTCTACCATGGTTTAATGAGTTTGTTTTTAAATTAAACCAAATAAGAACTGCAGGACATTCCCACGTGTCACATTTTACTACTAAACAGTTAGAGAGCAGAATTGGTTCTGGTGATCAGAACCAGTTCTGCTCTGTCTCATTTCTGACCGACGGGTCCAAATGAGCTGGTTCAGGATCTGTTAAAAGGCCGCGATGACATGTAGGGTCATGAGTAGGTGTTGGACCTCAGTGAGGTCATGGAGCGGGATCTGAATCCAGAACATCAGAAAGCATCCAGCATCACTTCAGCCCAGAACAAGTTGGTTCTGATCGAGGAAACAACACAAACATCTGGAACTAGAACTAGAACCCAGATCCCAGAGGTTCTGAGGAGCTCCCATATTTAACCTAATCCTGGTGTGTGTGGGGGTGCGCGAGCTGCCGCTAGGGGGTGCGCGAGGTGAAAAGTGTAATGGCTGCGGAGCTCAGAGAAGTCTGTCATGTGTCACCATTATTGTAGAAACTCATTTGTGGGTGGGCCAAAGAAAAAGTAAGTGGGCACAATAAATGTAAGTGAAAACAAGTATATTTTTGCGCGCATGTCCTCCACATGTGCCATAGCTTCATAATAACAATGCGCCGAGCTTCAGCACTCTGGCCTGCGCACGCCGATATGTTCCGTATTTGATCATTTTTAACGGTGTTGGAGAAATCTGAAGGTGGTGAGTCATTCTGGCAGATTGTAATCAACACCTGTCTCATTTAAGTGTTCTGATATTGTAAACCTCACACACAGAACATTGTGGATGTAGCAAAATAACAAGAAATGATTCCCATTCAGGCTATTAACAGCGCGCTGAAGATCTGAAGTTCAGAGTGCGTCTGTCAGAGGTCAGACGCGTTCCAGCGGAACCACGGCTCACGGGTGCACAAGTGAGCACATCTGGGCTGGGCAGAAGTAATTTTACAACATTTGTTTAAATAGCGCGAGACGCGGTGACTTGAGCGGCTGTGCCGCGCGCGTGCGCGCGCGCACACACACACACACGCACACAGATTCAATAAGCGCACACGCTGCTTTAACTCCGGCGCTGTCAGACTGAAGGCAGAAATGAACGCTGCCTCCACCGTGATAAAAACTTTTAAGAGGTTATTTTTCATTCAAGGTCAAATTAAGATATTAGCTTCTGGGATGAGTCGGGTCCGCTCCAGCCAGTGACTCCTCATGAACCTGACCACAGCTCATGTTACTGCAGCATTTGTTATTCCAGTCCGCATGACAGCGGATCGCAGATTCAGCCACACCATAAAACAGCAATAAGTCGGTCTGAGGTAAAAGTGAACCTCATGGCTATATCTTGTCCCCTATTGACATTTGATTACGCACAAGTAGGTGATCAGCTCAGGTTTACGCAGAGCAGAAGGAAGGAGAGCGCTCTCGCCACAGGTTAAACGTTCCTACTTTAAGAAAACCGTTAAATTGCATTGTTTATGTGCTACCTGGGCACTCTAAATATTTATTTAAAATGAAATCAAAGGAAATTGTAATGGTATCGAATGTTTATTAATTACTATTAAAAAAATGAAAGTGATGGGGAATTTTTTTAACCCTGTCTGTTTAGCTTGACATCTGATATATATGCGGGTGCGTCGACATGGTCGGGACATAGAAGGGGGTGCGCGGCTAAATAAGTTTGGGAACCACTGTTTTAAAGAAAAGCGTCTGGACTTCTTTGAGTTGCTTGAAGACGTTTCACCTCTCATCTGAGAGGCTTCTTCAGTTCTAAGGTCAAATGGTGGAGAGTCCCAGATTTAAACCCAGTGGGAGTTTCCCCCCGAAGAGGGAACAAAAGACCCCCTGATGATCTTCTATGAGCCAAGGTGTGAGGGTGGGTGTGGGTCCTATTCAGCCAGAGTTTCGGGTGAGCTCATTGTGAAGCCTGGCCCCACCCTATCATGTGAATTCCTGAGGTCAGATGGCCCAGGATATGCGTGGGCATTGAGGCATCTGGGAAGGGATCTCAAAACTGGATTATAGATGGCAGACAGTTGGTGTCGTAAACCACCGCCTCTGTTCAAAGATGGTTGCTCACAGTGGACATAAATGGCTTCCTTTACTCCTCTTTCAAACCATCTGTCCTCTCTGTCCAAAATGTGAACGTTGGCATCCTCGAAAGAGTGACCTTTGTCCTTTAGATGCAAATGAACTGCTGAGTCTTGTCCCGTGGAGGTGGCTCTCCTATGTTGTGCCATGCGCTTGTGAAGTGGCTGTTTGGTTTCTCCGATGTGGAGGTCTCGGCATTCCTCGCTGCACTGTACAGCATACACCACATTGTTCAGTTTGTGTTTAGGAGTTTTGTCTTTCGGGTGAACCAGTTTCTGTCTGAGTGTGTTGCTGGGTCTGAAGTACACTGGTATGTTGTGTTTGGAGGGGTAGGATGCAGGCGCTTGGCCCTGTCTGACCCCATCCGATGTTTCCAGTGTGTGAACCAGTTCTCCCAGATGCAGAGCCAACAGGCAGCAGAACCTGAACGTGTTCAGATGTTTTATTAGTAAATAAATCTGCTTCATCTGATCCCATCTGGATGAAATTTGGTCTCGGATATTCAGAGCGGTTTTCCATCCGGGTGAGGTGACTCCTATCGCCACTGCTCTCTGATCAGATGTCTGGCAGCAGATCAAAGGCAGCTGCAGCACTCAGCTGGACCATTTCCAGCCTGATAAATCTGTGGGATAATCAAGACCAACAGCAGAGCATTCTGGGTGAGGAGACGGTGAGGTCACGCTGAGGTCAGGGAGCCTCCTAAAGGGTTCAAACTTTAACTCTGATGTTCCTCTGATTCCAAACAGGAAACATCTCATATGGAAATGATCGGATCCGGGAATCAGATTATCGCACAAAGGTGAGCCGGAAAGGAAAACCTCTTAAATGGATGTGAGCAGAGATGATGGAAGTTTTCAGCATGAAAACATTCAAATGAATGAGAAATAAAGCAAGTTTTATTCTTTTTCAGTTAAAATATGATTTGTTTATGGAAGCAATGAAGCAGGTGAGCTGCTGAAGCTCCTCCCTACAGGTGTACGTTTCTCCTGAGGAACATCCACGTGTCACACCTGCATGGTCCTGCAGAAGCCAGAACATGCAGCTTTAACTCTGCACCTTATCTGCTTCCTCTTGTTGCTATTTGCATACTTTTGCCCTTTTATCTAGAGGGGAACGAGGAGCTCACCGTTGCTGACGTCCCCTTTACCTGGAACTTCTTATCAAACTCCAGAGCGCCTGACTCGCTGCAGCAGAGCAGAGATGATACTACTGCTGAAGTTCTGCTTCAGGTGCAGCTAAAGGCCAAAGCGCTCCTACATTTCCCATCATGCATTTCAGTACGGTCACCCCTATGTGGGACAGAGAAGCCTTACTTAGCATAAAGAACAGACAGCGCACTACTGGGGGTCAGGAACTTTGGTCACGAGGGCCACTGACTAGCATGTTTTAGTTGTTTTCCTGCAACACAACTGATTTTAATCAGCAGGTGATCAACAGGCCGAACAGGTGGTTCAACCATTCAGTCAGGTGTGCCGGAGCAGGAGAACATGCTGGATCGTGGCCCTCCAGCTCCAGGGCCGGAGTTCAGAGAGATGTGGACTGAGCTGCTTAGCTGCAGAAATGGAATGCGGCCCTTGTGGTCACACCTGCACCAGGCATTTTCTCTGATACTCATCAGGTAAGGAAGAAACGTTTGATCGGGAACAGGTACAATAACAGCCTGGTATCTGGCGCCACCTGCTGGAGACTGTTTTAGGATTTCAATTAGCAGAAAGTGGAAGTGTCTTTTCAAAGTAAAAGGTCATTCAAATGGCCCAACATGAAGAGTTGGACTAAATCTTTTATGTTAGAAACCACATCAGTCCCAAATATCTCAGGAGGTTCAATTCAATTTTCAATTTAAGTTTATTTATATAGCGCCAAATCACGACAACAGTCGTCTCAAGGCACTTCACATAAACATTCCAATACAGGTCAGGTCATTAAGCCAGTCAGAAAAGTTTGGTTCTAGGCCAAATTTTCCAGAGGGGCCACAGTGGGGCCAGTATTTTTTCATGAGGGCGCAAGAAAAA